CTGTCTTTTCTATGTTCACCTGAAGTCCTTTTTTTGCTGTTTCTTCTGATAACTTGTTGGTTTTTGCACATAAGTCTTCTAGTTTGTGTGACACTAGACGTTATTCGTCTCCACCAAGAGATATGTGCTTCACAAGATCTCTTAGTTTTTGCGAAGATTGGGATTACTTCATGAACGCCTAGACCGAAGCAGGTGGTTACCTTAAAAGGCCACTTCACTTGAAATTTGATCCATAGGTCAATGGAGCAGGGTCAGGAGCCACGTTCCTGTCGTTTCCGGTAACCAGAACACATTCATACACCACTCTATCCATTCGAATTATGGTGTCCATGTATATCATAATTTTGGAATCAGGGTTTCTCATCTCCCCCAGGTAGACCTGCATTTCCATCAATCTGGTTGTAGGTGCCAGATGTTCGCATTCACCCTTTCATTTTTATACCGTGATAAAGTTTTAGCTAAGCATAATAAAAATAAATAATCCCACATGTAGACAAAATTAGGACACCAAATGAAGAGCAAATTATGAACGTCGGAATATGTGCATAGCATCTCAGATGGATTATGTGATTAGTTTGCGCAAAGTCATTTTGAAGGTTCTACAATCAACTTTTACCGCTATGATAAATTATAGCAGCCACTGAATGATCTTGAATGAACATTCATATCACTGTTCATGCATGCAGTGTCTGGTTTCAACATAAAAAACTTTGCACAGAAGTGTAGTAGTTCAATTTTTCACACTCCATGTCGTACACTCAAAAGGTAAAGAAAAGAGAGAAAATCAAGAGATTCTAAAGAATTTATAGTCAGCAAATTGATTGGTTCTCAACATTCCAAGAAACTCAACCAGTCAGTCTACATATCCCTACCGGGTTGGCTTAAACCAACTGTCGAAGACCACATGGACTGATTCCAGGTTTCGGTTTTGTAAATTAATCTTCTGTCTAATTGAATTGAATTTTTGATTTTCCCGTCGATTGATTGGACCGAAGTACTCGGTCTCAGGTTGACATGTCGGCTTCTTGTGCAGATGCTTCGACGATGTCTGGGCATTTAATTAGTATACAATTGGTGGATGGTGGCTAGCAGTGGAATCCAGCATGCGCTTTTTGTCCTATTTGTCATATTAATTATTGAATTGAATTTTTGATTTTCCCGTCGAGCCTTGGTGGGAAAATCATCACTCACCGAGAAATGCAGGTACATCCATCTGATGAGTCCCAAATAGGACGAAATGCGCATCCTGGATTCCACTGCTAGCCACCATCCACCAATTGTATACTAATCTTATATCTATTTTAATAACAGGGAGAAGACCAGTAGTTCAACGAAGAGTTTCTTTTCGGCGAATTCATTTTCATAGCTGTACATTCACAAACATATTTGGTTATTTTGTATGTGTGCATACATTAAATTTGTCAAACAAAAATGCAATTAGTAAGTTCAGATGAATTGGATGTTGATATAAGACAGGGTGGTAACAAAAGTGATGAATTGTCACAAATGATTGTTAACGAAGAGTTACGTAATAACATGAATAGTTTGATGAAAGAGTTGTGCTCAGGGTGTACATGTAAACAAAATAACATACGTAACTACGCAAGAGTTTTGAGTAGTTAGAAAAATAAGCATACAAACAAAAGTTAGGTCAAATCAACAGAGTTGTTACCTTGATATTTTAATAACCGCACAGTCGTGCAGTATTAACAACTGGATGACAAGGTTTCGAGCATAAATTATTGCCGCTCATAATCATAACAGTTTAGTCACACGGTTTCACAATTTTGTCTCTCTCTCTCTCTTTGTCTTTTCTCTCCTTCTGTAGCTGTCTCTCCAACTTCCCTTTGTTGTTTGTTGCCACTTTCTATATCTCTGGTATAGGCGTTGTGTCATTTCGATTGCACGTGTGCTGTGATCAATCGATAAACAAAGTGAATAACCTCTCTCTGTGTCCACCCAACTGCATTACTTTTCGTTACTGTCAGCCTATTCCACACACTCTATTTTGTGATAACATCCAAGTGAATGCAGTAGAATGACTGAGCTTTTTTCTAACTTATTTAACCTATCAGGGTAAATTATTCTAGGTCTAGCTAAATTTCTGTGTTCGAAAAATGTAATTGACCCCAATGGACTAGTTCAACCTATGATGTAATTGACCTCACTGACAGTCATTACATGGTATTTGTTAAATTAGATTATTTTCCTTGATTTGGATGTATTGGGTTCTTAAGCTGACAAAGTCTATCTCTGAGTGAGTTTGTTTGTTGGTTTAAATGCCAACTACCGTAATTTCAGCGTCATTGAGAACCCTACTTAAAGCCTCTGACTTTCTTTCTTTATATGACAGTACTATAGAGGCTTTGAATTCCATATTATTCTCGTTATTTTCGTCACTTTTATTGCTAGTCTCAGTTTTTCTATGGTTCTTCATATATTTCTAAATAAAATCTGCTGGGTTGTTAATTATTCACTAGTAGTGTATACTATATTTTAAAAAAATTTCATTATTCAAATCTTTGGACGTTCGAGTTAGTCTCTTGGCTTGATTATGCAGAGATTTAACTTCACCTATTTGCCTTTACTGATTCTGGATGGAATGAATTAAAGTCTAGTCTAAGTATTTATTGGAATGTTTTGGTTCCCTATAAATGCTAGTATCCAACCTCCCGTCATATTGTTTTCGTTTTATTTCACAATCTAGCATGGCCAACTCACCCGGTTTATGAAGAAAATAAAAGACAGATTCAGCGAGGGAAATTTTCTTTATCGACCAAATCATCTTTAGAGGCTGTACAGTCGTATTTATACTTGCAAAAGTATATAGTGGTCTATTATTGAGTAATAGGGGGTGACGTAATTGATATAATTATTCATAAGTGGCTTTAGAAGGGAAAATTAAAAGTTGAAAATTACGTGGTACTCAACGGAACAAAGATAGCAATTTGATAAGGTTAAAATTACTCTTGAGTGAGAATAAAGGTATTTGAGTGTCAATTTAAAAAGTGTGAAGAGGATGCGAAAATATACAAAAGGGAGCATATGAGATTGATAATAGTGAATTAATTATTAAAGCAAAAGCAAACTAAAAGTAAAATTAAAAAAGGAAAGGAAAAAATCCAAATTTTTTACAGGGAACGATTAGTTAAAAGGTTAAGACCAAGCAAGGTAGAATAAGAGACTGGACAAACTTCTTCTGTATACAGAGTTCGGGGTTGTATTGACGAATTGCCAGCGCCTCCGCCATACACAAAAGCCGAAACCTGATGCCCCTTGTACCATTTGGCTTCACTTTGTAGATGATCTTGAAAGACGACTCTGGTGCAGCAACGTGGCCTGATTTGACCAAATGCTCGAGAATTGAGCTAGTAATTGTCTTACATTGTCCCTTTGCTAATCATGCCGGATAATGTTCAGAGATACGTTTGGAAAGCGTGTGAGGTTTATTTTCCTACTCAGAAGTGAATTGGATTCCGTCTTCTATTGAGTTTATATGTGTGAGAAATTGGAGGATATGTTCAGATTTCAACACGGTGGATGTGTCATCCACATATCTCCAATACATCCAAGGAGGAACAGGATTAGATGTTCTAAGAGGCTTATGCTCCCAAATATCCATAAATATGTCTCGTAATATTGGGGATATTGGTGATCCTATGCCACCGCCCCATTCGTTTGTTTATATAGTTTATTTTGAAATTTGAATACAGTAGAGGTGGTTACACATAACTGAACACCTAATATTAGTTCATCAACTGAGCGAGAGCTTAGTCTTACTTTTGAGTTCAGGATCGATATTCAGTTTATTCCTAACATCGAGAACTGTATTAATGGTAACTTTAGTAATAAACTGATTATGTCAAAACCAGCCATTTTTCTCCTTTTTCTAATTTAATTTCCTCTAGTTTCTGTTTCATAACAGAGGAACTAGTTAGCCGGAAATTTGACCTATACCTAATGGGGCATAATATTAATAGTCCTGAATCCAGCTATATTGGCCTGATAGGGATGAGGAGGGAGATGCCTTGGCAAGCGTATCACGTGTCGTATATGTTTCAATCTATGTAGCTTCCACAACCTCGTTGATTGGCTTCTCTTCCTTACCTAGCACTCTATGCCTAACCGCAATATTAATCTCCTCAGTATATCACTTAACACGTTAGGGTAGTACGCGAATATCTGTGATCAATTGCAAGCCAGCCTGTTCAGATCTTCCACTTTCAATGGCCATGTCTTACATTCATAATCGTCAGAACACGGACACTGATGTAAAGTAAACAGGACTGGTCGACTAAACTTTTAAAAGAAAAAAATAAATAAATCTGGTTACTTTTTTAAAATATAAACTGTCGATTACATCTCAAATATCACTGATAATCTTAAAATTTAGTTGTACCAAATGACATTTTTGGTCGATAATCTGTGGATCGCATGTTTGACTTCAGATGCCTGTTTTAGGGAAACTTCATTTCTTACCCTTCTATAGTAAGTACTAGATACAAGTATCTTGTGTCCTATGAGGAAAATTGAACACTGGATTTCAAGTTTATCAATGAGCTGACATTAGTTAAAGAAATATTTGAAAACCAAAGGAGTACCGGACTATTGTTTCGTCCTGGTTTGGGGGTTCGAACACAGGCTATTCTGGTTGCAGGGCGAGCTCGTAGACCATTCAGAATATATATATATATAGTGCACCCTCAGCCAGTGTAGTCGGTGATTAACTGTCGTCTTATCTGACTGGGTGGACTATACCGACCACAGCTTCTCACTAGAACTCAAGGTAAGTACCTGTATAGAGGCAGTAGCTCTAGTGAGCATCATATTTGTTTTCAGGTGTCGTGATCAAACGTCGTGTCATCAGCAAAATCCCTGCACAACAATACTGAATTTCTTTTGATTACATTTTAATAACATTTGTTTTTTTTCTCCATAATTTTATTGGAAGACGGAGATTATCTGCTTTTGTTTTTTGTTCTATTCCTATTCACTTGTAGATGAACAACAACGTGTACAGAAGAAAACCTTCACTAATTGGGTTAACGCACATCTACAAAAGGTATGTATTTAAAAATATTTTTGTAATGTTTCAAGATGCCTAATCTATTGGGTTTCAATGTCTCTTCTCCTTTTTTTTGGCTGGTAACATTTTGAAACTGGATACTGATTATGTAATGTGTTTGCATTCTAGTTGAAGGGTTTACTCTATAAGATTTCAAATGATACTGTAAGTCATAAAAGAAATTTAGTAAACAGAGAATTTCTGGAAGCTACTTGGTACTTCCGGATCAGTCCGCGTTTAACTTATATTTATGGACATTATTATTATTGTTTCGTTTAATTCCTAGTGGAAAATAGGGCTTCAGCCGCGCGTCTCCATTGCTTCGGTTCTCTGCCGACACATTCACCTGGCTCCATGATTCCCGCATGCTTTCATCTCCTCTTTACATCACCTCTTCCATATCACACTACCCTCTCACTGACGACCAACTCGCTACTTCCCATTCAGCCGGTTCCACTCAAGCGATGGATTGGCGTGTGATGTCACTCACTTGTTTTCTCAGAGTATGACCACCCAAATCCACCTCCATTTTTTTCTGCATATCTGTTGCACAGCTGGTTCTTGCTGAGTTGGTTTGCTCTCAGAGATCCCTGTTGCTGGCCGGTCATCTGATCTTGAGTAGTGCTGAGCGAGGACAGCTGTTGATGAAAGTTTGTAGTTTATTCGAAGTGTCCTTCGTGACGTGGTGCCGAGTCTCTGATCCGTAGAGTAAGTATCACTGACTTCACATTGGAGTTGAAAATCCGGATCTCATTTTCATCTTCATGGTGAGCGCTGTTGACCTCTATACATACATGAGAGTAATGGAAGCTTGTCCCGCTTTCTCGACCCTTGCTTTGATATCCTCATCAGTTCCGTTGGCCTGTAGTTAAAACAATGCTTCCGTGGTAGGTAGGTAGGTAAAGGAGGTTGCTTCTTTCAGGTTCCTCCCATTTACGCTGGCTGATTGTTGTCTGTTGTAGTTGGTGTTGCTGTTTGTGTTGGCCAGGAATCTTCATCACCTAACTGTGTTTTCTCTATGTTCACCTGAAGGAAGTCGTATCTTTGATGCTTCTTCTTCCAACTTGTTGTTTTCCACTTGCATATCACATGCATATGGACATAGACCAATTTTCTCATTTTGAGATTAGAGCTAAAGATGTTATGTTTTGAAGCGGATAATGCCTACTTTATTCCTTTTGCATTCCAGATAGAATATAGGAGGGCTTCCAGCTTGAGCTTTGGTATTTCAGTAGCAGTGGTGTTATTCTTTTTTTACGGGGTGGGGGTGTGGGAGTTGCTAGGCTAACGATCAACCTTCCGTCTTTCTCGAGCATACTATTGGCTGAGTGAGATCTACAGAATTCGTCAGCCGGGAATGGAACCTGGACCAGGTGTGGCGTGTTTGGCTAATATTCTACCTCTGATCTACCGACGTCACACAGGTTTACATCATGAACATCGTTTAGCGAAGAAAATTTTCTTTATCGATGAAATCATCTTCAGAGGCTGTACAGTCGTATTTACATTTGAGTAGCTTGAAAGTCCTCATTGAGTCATATGAAAAAGGGAAGACGTTCCGCGAAGAGACCGCGAATTCATTCATATAGCTGTACAGTCGCATTTACATATAATTATTTCTGTGTGTGTGTGTGTGTGTGTACATGAGGTTTGTCTAGTTTAGATAATTGATCAGGTAATGAAAGAATGATCTAATATTCAAACAAGGTTAATTTGACAGCAACTAAAGTAAGATTAAGTTAGTAAGTTAGATGACGTAATATAATTGACCAAAATGTTTCAACTTAGGTCAGGATAGCAACAGGGCTAATTACATATAGAGACTAAGTAGAATTGGGGTAGAGAATAATGCCATTTCAATTAGAACTGAAATTGAGCAAATAAGTTGGATGACATAACATAATGACTAGAAATTGAGCGTTAGTCAAGTCAGTAACAGTGTGGTAGTGAGGTGTAGAAATTAAATCGGTTGGGGGTAGAGAACAAGTAAGTTGAAAATGTAAAATATTACAATTGAGAAGACAAAATAATACTAATGAAGAGACAGAAGAAAAAAAGATTAGGTAGAATTTACTTGTCGGGTAATAAGATAGATTAAGTCCATTGCAAGTGTAGTGATTGAACGAACTTCTTCTGTATTCAGAGTTCAGGGCTTAGCAGGTGAACGCCATTGTTTCTGCAGTTTGGAGAAGTCTGTTTCCTACACCTTTAAGAAGACTACTTCTTACTCTGTAGACGACTTCGAAGTTTGTTTAGGGTGTAGCTTGGTGTAAGGAATCTATCAGATGTTCTAAGATGTAGCTGTGGGGACATCGTTTTTCTCCTTTGTAAAACCATGTTGGTAAGTGTTCGGTGATACGCTTGGAAAGCAAACGCTGAGTACGGCCGACGTACCTGGCTCCATACGAGGAGGTGAATTGATAAATACACATTGATTAGGTAGCCAGCAGTGGTAGCTTATCATTCACGTTCACATGAATCATAGGTTTTGTGGAGAAAGTTAGACGTAGTTCAGCTGCGAAGGAGGTCTTCTTGAGTGAGCGCGACAATTGATTTTTTAGTGTTTCTGCAGATATATCTCCATTGAATTGAAGGTTCATGTAGACCAGTTTTTTCGGGACGCTAAACATGGGCGGCTTTCGCGGTCTGGGATTCATGGATTTTGCAATAAATCGTTCTGGATAAGAATTCTCGACGAGGATTCTCTTGAGATTGTCTAGTTCGTCTTCTATGCTATCTGGGATGCAGATTCTGCGAACTCTTTAGCTGAGTGAACGGATCAGGTTTCGTCTGGTGTATAGGGGTACCCAACTGTGAAAGTTAGCTGTCCGTTCGACGTTGGCTTTTTATAGATAGATCTTTTCAGTGTTCCATCCTGCTCTCGTCTTGTTAGTTGAACATCAAGAAAGGATATTTTGGAGTTAGACTTTTTCTCCAGCGTGAACTGAATCGCGGGGTGGAAGTTGTTAAACGACTTCGGGATGTCGTCTAGATTTTCTTCATTGTTGACCATAATGAAAGTGTCGTCGACGTATCTCTTATAGATTTCGAAGGTATCGATCATTTTCTTCAGGCATGTGTTTTCGAGTTTTTCCATGAAGAAATCTGCAAGCTATGGGCCTTGTGGTGAGCCCATAACTATACGATCCTTTTGACGATATATTTCGTTGTTGAAAGAGAATTGAACATTCAAGGTACACCTCATTAAGGGTAGTAGTAGTAGTTTAATAATGAGTAATAGGGTGTCTGTGACATAACTGATATGATTCCTCAGAAGCGGCTTCAAAAGTAAAAAAAAAAACGGCTCAAAGGAAGAAAGGGTTAGAAATTTGATAAGGTTAAATTTGTTATCGCGTGAGAAAAAGGTAGTTGAGTATCCATTTAACAAGTGTGAAGAGGATGAGAAAATTTTGAAATGATGGAGAAGATTTGTGACTTCGCAATTAAATCAATCATCTCAGGTAACATAAACAATTCAGTAGGACGAGAAGATGTATAAAAGGAACATATGAGAGCGATAATAGTGAATTAATTATTAAAAATAAAAGCAAACTAGTCATAACCAATAAAAATAGGAAAAAATTACAAAGGTTAAGACCATGGTAGAATAAGAGAATGGTGGACAAACTTTTCCTGTATACAGGGCTTGGGGTTTCTTTGACAAATCGCCAGCGCCTTCGCCATACACAAATGCTGAGACTTAACACCCGTTGTACCATTTAGCCTCACTTGTAGATAATCTTGAAAGACGACTCTGGTGGAGTTGCCTGGTCTGAGTTCATTAAGCACTTGACAGTTGAGCTGGTGTACAGTCTTGTGCTGTAAATAAGTATCTTCATGATCAGTCGTAGTTAATATTCCTTCTTCTAGCTTAATTATCGTTGTATCTTACATCAAATATTGAACTTTATGCATAGTCGTCTTGATTTTTCTGAGATAAATGTATTCTCTACGATCAGTTTTAGTTAAAGTGGTGATGGGGTGGTGGTGGTGGTGGGGAGTTAATTTCCTGTATTAAGGTGAGAGTAGATTATAGACGTCTGTACAACCTTTTTATAATATCTAACAGTAACTAAGTTGGCATAAATATGGCTATAAAACATCTTAAGATACTGACCTGTTCAACATCTGAAGGCCGTGTGGGTTAGAAGAGCACACGTGGTTTTTACATGATTGGTGATTAATAGTAAGCCTTGCGTTTGGGCTTAGGTTCCATGGTCAATCGCGAACCCGAATAGCTCAGCATTGGGTGAGTAGGGTTCGAATTTCAGGAGGGGATATGAATTCTTTCAAAATTACAGAAATACCTCCTTGATGAGTGCCAACAATCATGAATTATTATTATTATTGTTCCCTTGGGTTCCTAGTGGAACATAGGGCTTCAACTGCACGTCTCCACTTGCCACTTCTGTCTTCCTTCTGCTGTACTTTTCACCTGAATCCATGTTAGTCCATACTGTTTCAACTCCTCTTCACACGATCTCCTCCATGTCACCCTTGCACTGAAGATCCACTCGCCGCTTCCCTTTCGGCCTGGTTCCACTCGAGTGATGGCCTGACTCGCGCGCGATGTCACCCAGTGGCCTCCTCAGCGAGTGTCCATCTCCATCTCAATCCACTTTCTCCTGCATATTTGTTGGTTGGTGATTGGTTCTTGTTTTGTTTGTTCCCATAGTTTCTTGTTGGTGATTCTTTCCGGCCCGACCATCTGATCTTCAGTATAGAGCCAGCGAAGACAGTTGTTGTTGATAAAGGTCTGCAATAGCCTGTTGGAAATCTTCTTTGTGACTCGTCCGCCAATTTTCTGATCCCTATAGAAGAACTAACTGACTTGACGTTGTTTGTATTGAAAATCCAAATTTTGTTGTTGATAATTTTAGAATTTTCAATATATTTGTGCGTTGAAGTTTCTGTAGCAATTTGGTTAAGTTTTGAGGGTGGAGTTGTTAGCACCACGCCCCACCCTCCTTCTTTATTCCGGGCTTGGGACCGGCTAGAAAACTAGCGAGCTAGTAATCTAGGCGAGGTTGAACAAGCATGAAACCTAGGTTCAATGTTTCTGATTGCCTCCATCTGATCAACGAACGTTAAGGACATTCTCTCCTATCGAAGGTATGCTTTTAATCTGTCATTCTTCATGATGGGGGGTGGGGGTGGATATTGACTGAAATGTTTTACATTTCTTTTATCCTGCTTCACCTTATACATACTTCTAGATGTAATTTTCTCTTAAGGTGAGGTGAATTCCTTCGAAGGGCTTTTCTGAGCACTGCTCATCACTTATTGTTCCTAAGGGATTGACAATTTATAAAAATCTCTTTCGAACCTGTGTAGACGTTAATGAAAAGACCTCATTTTGTTTAACTTCTGAGTCAATTATCAACTGACTCTCGTTAAGATTTCAAGGGGAGAATGAATTTCATTCGAATTCCCGACAGGTTTTGGCTGATAAGTGTAAAGAGGTATACAATTTAAGGCTAAACTAGCTTTTCTACCCACTGAATAGACTACTACTACTACTACTGCTTGCACTCTGTGTACAAAGTACGCTTCAAGCCGTTGGTCAGCTTAGTGACCCTCTGAAGTGATTCATCAGAGAAAAGCAAGCAAATTTAGGTAAAAAACAGTGTATCTTTGAAAAAAATATAATCTGGTACATCGGGTGCAAACCGGCCACTTTCTCTCTTCTATACTACTACCTTCTCTATAATCTAGCGGGTACCTATTAAATTGCTAAACAGCTCCAAACAGCAGAAACTATTGAAATTTGCCTCAAACAACCAGTGCTCTGTGTTCAAAAGAAGCAAGTCCAGTTAGTCCCTACCACTTCCCTGGCTGGCCTTCTGTAGAGACTAGAAATTCGTGAATTCCTTGTATTATCATCTTTCCTAATTTTTCTGACATTCAGCTTATTTTATGTTGATGTTATTGAGCTGTAATCTATTGATATTATTGATTCGATGTTATTTTAACAACATTAATGTTGTTCATAACACTAATTCATTCATTCACTATAATGAATGGATATATAACTGTAGATCCTGATGAAGAAGAGGTTATCTAAAAGAGTATTCTTTGTTCACTATCCATTCTTTTGATAATAATAATAATAAATTGTGAAATCGAGATTACAATGTACAACTACAGCACAGAATGATATTGAGAATACAGTTAGCATTACAACGTGGTTAGGTAGAGGAGTCGTAAAGTCACTCAGAAGTTCCATACTGGCACACCAAGTTGGATACGGAGTACAAGATTGACAAAAATTCAACTTTTACAATTCCATACAAAGTGCCACCTCAGTTTCCCTAGGTTGGTACATTTTCGGTTGCTAAGCATAGTTGAGGAGGTAGTTACCATAAGGGTTTTTTCAACCCAATTTCTGTGTTCAGAAAAAAAAATCGTCAATCTCTCTCCCTTCCTTGGTCTTCGCCTCCAAACTAAAATATTTATTTTCCCGGTGACACCGGATAACTGTAAATATTATGTTTTATACTTTTATTTTGTTTGTAATGCTAAATGCATTATCAAATATCATACTGTTCTGTAGTTGTACATTTTAATCTCGGTTACACAATTTATCACTATTATTATTATTATATTGTCTAGTCGTTATGGGACAACAGTCATTTTCCCCTCTACTCCTACTAGTTAGTATGCACATTCTACCTATAGACTCACTATTGCCCAGATTATATAAATCCTTGAATGAATTTATCCTTATTATCACGTTGATCACCTCGATTGTTATCGATTGATTCACATCCCTGAACTGTGATCCCTGATAGTCTATTAACCACATTATTTCAAATGCCAGTGACTAATATTTCATTATTATGTCAATTTAAAATCCTGACGAGAATTTACTGAAAACACGTATTTGCTTCAATTGTGTTCTATAAAAGTTAGAATTCACAAAATCATTGGATTCCTGTTCAAGTAGCTGTGAAATTCCTTGGTTCGATCCCTGGCAGGTTCGTGTATGTGCCCACTAATGAAGAGTCCCTACCTGGGACGAAACGGCTGTACAGTAGCTCTTGGTGGTTTTCAGTGATCTCTCTCTCTCTGTGTCTCTATTTGATCTGTTGGTGGGTGGGTTGGTTGGTTTGTGGCGAAATCTAACAAAAGTGAAATAGGATTTATTCTTAGTCCCTATAGAAACCCATGATGTAAACTATTGTTTCTTTATTTCAACGGGGTGGGTGGGGTTCGGGGAAAACTGTGTAAAACTTACTTGGCTGATAGTAAATGGAAAGAAATCGGCTGGATCATTTCCTGCATTCCAAATAAATTGATCATTACAACAAATTGAATCATTCATAGTATAATATAATTGATGGGGAAATACATACGTTTTATTGGTGTTCAGTTGTTTTGAAAATTTTTAATTTATCAAAATAAGTATCAAAAATTTAAATTAAATCCAGATTTCGGTTTGATTTTGAAGTGAAGTTAGTTTTCAACTAGGAAACTATTTGTTTTATATTGTAACAGCAGAGAGTAATACTTTAGATACATGACAGGGTTATCGAAAGAGTACTCTTTGTTCAGTATCCATTTTACTTGAAAATTTTAATGGGCATTTTTAATCAGCAAAAATATAATCTTCAAATTGAACAAGTAAATCAGTTAGAAAATTCACGGCGAATATCTGATCTTGTCACTCTGCTTCTTTTTTAACTCAAATTTTAGGTGTATTGTCATGTTCTCTGAGCTGGATGTTTTAATTCCGAAGCTTTCATTGCCCATCATGTGCATCCGTGGTTCATTTGTAGTGTACTCGCCAACCACACACGTGGTTGGTTGGTTTGTTCGGGGTTCGACTCCTGGCCGGCAAACTCCCTAACATCACTTGGTAAAGAGGGAAGGTTGGGTATGAAGCTAGTAATTCCATCCCATAAAATAAAGCCAACACAGTTACTGAAACTTGAAGCTTGACCTATTGACCTATATCATGTCAAAATTCGCCTATGATTTTTGATAAGCACTTGCATGGTATGTATCACACATAGACCGAAGTTGGAATTCATAGGCTAGGCCACTGGATCGAGTCCCACTGACTGAATAGTCTCCGAGCTTGCCTTATAACTGGAAGGTCCTGCATTATCTGAACCCTTGCTGTGGATAAGAACTGATGAAGAGTCCCAAGCTTGAGTGGAACATGTGTCTAGTACTCTCTGGTTTCCTATTGGTACTCTAACTGATGCCATTTTGTTATCTAACCAGTAACCAATAAAATCCCTGCAAACCAATACTTTTACGAGAGTAAGACAAGGATGCCTACTATCACCAATGATTTTCTTGATTGCAATAGATTAGATAATACGACAGACAGCGGTGGGCAGCGAGCAAGCAGGCATAAAATGGATCCACACAAAAATCTTGGAGGATCTGGACTTCGCCGATGATGTGTCTGATTTCCCACAAACTGAAGATATGCAAGTGAAAAGCAACAAGTCGGCGATAGAAGAAGCATCAAAGATAGGACTTCACTTCAGGTGAACATAGAGAAAACAGAGGTAGGTGATGAAGATTCCTGGCCAACACAAACAGCAACACCAACAACAACAGACAACAATCAGCCTGCATAAATCGGAGGAACCTGAAAGAAACAACCTCCTTCCCCTACCTACATACCTACCTACCTACCACGGAAGCATCGTTTCAACTGCAGGCCAACGGAACTGATGAGGATATCAAAGCAGCCACAATCGGGAGAGCAAGACAAGCTTTCATTACTCTCAAGTCTGTGTGCAGGAGGTCAACAGCACTACTCAAGATGAAAATGAAAATAAGATCCGGATTTTCAACTCCAATATGAAGTTAGTCAGTGATACTTGCTATACGGACCAGAGACTTGGCCAGCGCGTCATACAGAAAACCTCAAACAAACTTCAGACCTTTATTAACAGTTGTCTTCGCTCAATAATCAAGATCAGATGGCCGGCCAGAAAAGATCAGCAATAGGGGATCTCTGGGAGTGAACCAACCAGGAACCGATTGTGCAACAAGAGGATGTGCAGGAAGAAATGGAGATGGACTGGCCATACGCTGAGGAAACAAACAATCAAGTGACATCACTAGACAAGCCTTCGAGTGGAACCCGAAATGGGAACTGTCGAGTCGGTTGTCCAAGGGTGACTTGGAGGATGTGATGTGAAGAGGAGATGAAAGCATGTGGGCAGACTTGGAGTCCGGTGAAAACGTTGGCATAGAATCAAAAGCAATGGAGACACGTGGCTGAAGCCCTATGTTCCTCTAGGAATTAAAGGAAATAATAAACCAACATTTAAAATTCTTTACTGACTATTTAAACTACTCCTATTTCTATTATTAATTTTTGTTTATTTACATATTTAGTTACCCCAACCAATTCGTATTACTGATCTATTCAAAGATATTGGAGATGGAGTTACACTTATCCGTCTTCTCGAAGTATTATCGGGCGAGAAACTGGTATGTTCATTTGGTTTTTTTTATTCTCTCAATTCATTGCTACACACCTCAGGTTATGAGAATCCAATAGGGTTTGTGTTGTGACTTAGCTGTTTTGATTGGCTGGTGGTGGAACTGTTGAGAACACCTTCACGTTATTATTTTTTTTAAATGCAGAAATAAACTTGCTTACTCATTTGCTAGACTATCTGGTCAGGTGATCTACACAGCGGAAAACTCAGATAGGTATTTGAAATGAAGGAGTAAGATAAGGTTGCCTATTGTCACCAATGATATCCTTAGTTGTGATGGGCTGGATTATGCTTCAGACTGTGGTTGGGGGGAGTGAGAAGACAGGAATAAGTTGGACTGACCAATAAGAAAACCCAAGAAGATTTGGGTTTTGCGCGTGGATGGTTTATGTCTAATGTCACACAAACTCCAAGAATTGCATGAAAAGCCCAACAAATTCATTCATGCGCGTCACCAATCTGGTGATGAGGCATTTTGCTATCTTCGTTTCCTGATCTATCCTATTTCCCGGTCAATCATCGTTACCGACGCCGGTGGTCTGAGTCGGATTGAAACTAGTGCGCATGCATGAAAGCAGCGTAGGAGCCAGGTCCTGCCACTCCCACTAACGGATAAGGCCTTAAAGTCCCAGGCTATCTTCTATAACCTCCGCTATCCAGCACCTCAGCCCTCATCTCTCGCAGATACGGATGATGGCGCCCAAAGCAGTTCAGCTTTTTACTGCCTGCGTGGTTAGCAGACACTTGTCCGAGATTTGGGGTCAATCATCGCCCTGAAGACCCATACATACTCGGACAAGTTGGGATGGTTTAAGCATCATCGAAGGGGTGTTCCAAGCCGGTTGCTGGTGGCGCTGCACCAGTATTCTCTTTGTTGTGGCCATCCCCTTGGTTCATCTAGCTCCGCCTATGAGGAAAAGAAAGAAAAGCGAGAGAGGAAACGCCTAGGTGCCGGGGTTTTGGAACCTGGTTGAAGCAGGAGAAGCCGGCCTTTGTGGAAGGTAAAGTGCTTTCTTAATGGGAATGTGATTCTTAGAAAACCTCCTTTGACCGTGTTCTGCCACCCTAGCCGGTTAAAAAAAACAAAAAGAACACCTGCATCACGATGGGGGGCATGGTCATCCATCTGGAAAATAGAGAAAAGAGAAAGCATAGCGTGCTTTAAAAGAAATGTCTACTTAACTTGGCCCCTTGTCCAGGTAGAAGCCGTCATAGCATTTCAGAGACCCTATGATGGTCAGCAGGCAGAGATCAGAAAGAATCAGTTCAGATAATCCTAGTCGAGTCATGGCCCGTTCATTGTCCTCGTGTAGGAGTATCTTCATGCTAATTATGAACGGGTAGTAGATGGTTGGATCCACCGTGACGCCTACGTTTTTCCTTAAATGGTTCCTTAGGATTCGATTCCTGTTAGTGTCATCGTATTTATTAACATTCGTACGCCAGGACTGCCATAGAGTGTTGTCGGTAGTCATTTTAACGTCGCTGATACAGTGGTGATAATACGTCGGTGGTACAGTGGTTAGGACTCTCGCCGACCATGTACATGGTCCGAGGTTTGATTCCTTTAATATCTGTGGTCGGCCTGCAAAATTTGGTCTACCGATATGACATGCTGAAAATTCCATACTTGTACCAAAAATACAGTGTGGAATCAAGCTGAAATAAAAAATAAAAAAAATAAATAAGAAAAAAACATAGACTGTTCTATTTCTAATGGCTACGACGTCTGGTTTAAAGTATGAGCCGAAATATTTAATGCGGGGCTCTTGCATGACTTTGAAGCCTTTTTGTGTGTGGCCTCCGGTAGGCTAGCAACTATCCTGTCGTGTCGGGCAGTCCGCCGTCCATATGTTATTCTACATCTCTGTAAGAAATGTGACAGATTTTCTTTATGACCACTACCAAACTTGCATCGGCAGTCGTCAGTCCCTCCTTCCTTGTGCCGCCCTCTGGAGGCCCTTTCCTTTGTCCCTAATAGGTTCCCTCTGAGCTGGATCCCTAATAAAGGTCCTTGGTAAGACTGCGTTTGTCTTCCGGAGCCACCTATGTGTAAACATTACTGTATAACACTGTGAGACTTTATCAAAACAAAATTTAACCATAATTGGAATTACACTCTACCACAGTGCACAAGTTTTATTCTTATATCAACAAAAGGTTAAATCTTGAGACGGAAAGTGGTCCAATGGGATTATTTCCTGACCACAACGTAAACTACGTTCAGATTTATGAAATAAACACTTCTATCACCTCAGTCATTGAATTATGTTGACTGCAGTTTTGGCTGCTTCCTATCAATCAGCGTCTATATATACTACTGATAAATCTTGTTAGTATATCACACGCCACACTAGTTTTGTGAACAATTTATTCAAGGAGTCGTCTATTATTTTGTATAGAAAAGTTTTAAATATAAGTAATTCTTGTTCTCAGTGATAGAGTTATATCATGCTTTTTTTTCTCCAAATATTGAGGCATGTTCTTTGAACCTAATTCTTCCATCATTGAATTCCTCGCGGAGTGGTTGAAGAATACGAATGGTCAGCCTGCTTGGTCTTGTAAGCGTTGTAAGGTTCACGGATATGTATTGCTGAAGAGCCCCCTCAAAAATAGCACGAAACAACTGTCCAGTATTCTTTTGTGCTTTCCAATGTTATGTCTAATGAGATTTTGTGGTTGGTGGCGAAATCAAAAATGCATTATCTAAAAAAATCTATTACTGTTAAATATTAATTAATTGTATATATGCGAAGACAAGCAAGCAAGCAAGCAAAGAAATTTTGTATCAATTTCACTAGAATAATCTGACAGATTAATGGTTACTAGTTTTGTTTCCCCCACTTTTCACGTCTACTTGCCCCTTCCACCCCGCCCTTTCAAAATAATCACCGCTATATATTCATCTACCTATCACCCTGACTACCCTACTTAAACTTAAGAGTTGTAATCGATTTCCGTTTCATATATATATATAGCCTTATAATAAGACAAAAGTCATATGACCGGCCTATCTACTTATCTATCTATCTGTCGTTCCTGCTTGTATCTCCCTATATAATATTTATAGTGGCTTTTTAATTACTCCTACTGTTGTGTGTTACTCTCTGCTGTCTAATATTGATTTGTTTTAATTAAATTAATTGGATATATTTCTGACATTGTTATTACTACACTAATGGTAATCATAATAAATCAGACTAGTAATAATTGTTGTATTATGCCTGCCTGCCTGACTTACATTCAAACACTGTGCGTATTCAATACCATCACATCATTATTCATTGGCTCTTAATACTAGAAGTATATTTGTATGTGTGTGTGTGAGAGAGAGAGAGTTTGAGTACATAGACAGACTTGTTGCATGGCCTTCCCTTTCAAATCCACCCCTGTGTTATTATTTAATCTCTTCTCGCTTTTCGGTTCAATTACATTTATTTTATTGATTGATTGATTAAGTGAGTGAGTGACTAGAAGCTGATTATTGTAACTATCGTCTCACCTATGTAAGTAAGTAAGTAAGTGAGGAAGGTAACGCCCTGTTGTATACTTCTTCCGCTAAATGACTCATAGATCCCATGTGTGTGTGTGTCGACCTAGAGACAGACGTTGTTGTTGTTATGCTGATGTCCCTGTTCTTGTTTACATTATTTATTCTCTTCTATTCTGCACCTATCTACCCATAAAATTATCATAATCTCTTTTATCAAATTGTTGTCATGTCAAAGGGTGTATACTGTATTCACCCACTTGTATATATAGAGAGAGTATTTCTTCTAGTATGGTTATCTATGCGTAGTGGCAGCAGCCTTCAGTGCTTTAATTAGAATAGGTATAGAAAAATGGTTCCGAGTGTAACATAAGTGTTGTGGGAGGAGGGGGATTCAAGCTATCAAGTTTGAGTTGATGAGTAGTTAGTGATAGTGTTGTTTCGTGTTTTACAGGGTAAGAAGTTGCCAGCTTCACACTCAACCCCTCTGTTTTGTTTGTTTTTACCCCGGGCTTACTATCGGCTATGTGCCCGTGACACAGAGATAGAATGTTCGCCAACCACGCCGGTGGTTCGGGGTTCGGTTCCCGGCCACAGTCGTGCACTCCTTTACCTTACTTATACGACTGGTAAAGAGGTAAGGTTGGGTGGGTGTGAGACTAGCAACCCCATCCCGTAAAAATAAACTCCACTGCTACCGAAACTTCAAAAATCTCTAGCTTGAAGCCATATGTTCCGCTGCGAACGTAAAGGAATAAAAGGAATAAAAATATTACCGGCTAGTCAATTCTGCGATGTTGTGTGATATGCATCAACTTGGAATCGTACCTGGAGGTTGTGTGTGCCCGCGCGTGTCACTGACGAGTATTCAACCACTGGATTGCTGAAATCAAATAACTCAACTCTACATACTTCAAGTTAATCCTCAGACATTATCGAAGCATCCTTATTCCTAGGAGTTGACATATTGCAAATTTCGATTCAATCAAAAATTGATTTTAACAAAATAATAACTGATGTCTGTTGCATGAGGTGATGGTTCTTGTGGTCATAGTGGTCCAGTGGATAACGCTTTTACGTTTGAAACAATACGTAGTGGGTTCGAGTCTCGGTGGAAGAAACGCCGTCACCCACTCAGGAATCCAGGTACATCCGGACGATGAGTCCAAAATAAGGCGAAACGTGCATCTTGAAATCCACTGCCAACTAATCGCAATCCATCAAATTATCTTATATTATGAAATAAAAAGGCACATATATGGTTTACATATTGTTATTACGGTAATTAGAGGTGAAGTGGCAAATATGTGTCTTCCGTAATTTCTCATCAGGCTTCCTAATTAAAGCTATTAAGCTTAGACATTGAATGTAAATGCAGTCGTTTGGATGAAAGTTCAAGTATTTTAATTCCCTTAGTTTTTAAGTGTGTAACATGGGGCTTTAGCCAACACATTTTCATTTCATCTTGTTCCCTGGTGTCTTCTTTAGCTAACTCATCA